GGTTCCAAAAGCTTTCATTCTTGGGGTTATCTCCTAAGGAGAGGCCCAAATAAATGATAGGCCAATCCGAGATTACACAACCTAACATACCTACATATTCACTTACTTCCCTCTCCTCCAAATTCACTCTCACCATGCAACTCTTATTAAAGTTCATTTTAAGATTAGACATCTGCTCAAAGAGTTGTATTGCCAATTTTAAATTCCCGATCCAATTTATGTTCCCACCTTCACAGAACAGGATTGTGCCATCTGCAAACTACAAGTGTGTAAGTGATACTTCCTCCCTTCCTACTCTCCATCATTTTATTAAGTTCCTTGAATCAGCTCTATGGATCAATCTCCCTAGGACATCTGCAATCAAAGTGAATAGAAAAGGGGAAAGTAGATCTCCTTGTCTTATTCCTCTCAAGGTAGGAAAGAAATCCATCACAGTTCCATTCACCAAGATAAAATAGTGGCAACTCCTAACACAACCCCAAATCCATTTACACCATCTGTCTCCAAAGCCAAAACTTCTCATCACCTCCACCAAGAAGGATCAATCAACTAGGTCATAAGCCTTCTCTAAGTCTTACTTGCATACCACTCCCTTCTTCTTGGATTTCCTAAAGCTCTCCAAACTCTCATTTGCAATCAAAATTTGATCAATGATCTGCCTTCCCTTCACAAAAGCTCCTTGGTTGGGTGCAATAATGGTAGGAAGAACTCTCTTTATCCTTAGAGACAACACTTTTGCAATTATCTTGTACAGACTATTCACCAAGCTAATAGGTCTAAAATCCCTTAGTTGTGAAGCCTCTTCCTTCTTTGAGACCAAAGCAATGAATGTGGAATTTAAACCCCGATTAAATATTCCCTTTTTGTGAAACTCTTCAAAAACCAACACTAGATCCTGCTTCACAATATCTCAACAATCCTAATAAAATGCCATTGTGAAACCATTTGGGCCCAGAGATTTTGTCCTATCCATTGAGAACACTGCTTCCTTTATCTCCTCTAGATCAAAATTCTTCTCTAACGCCTCTCTATTCTCTACATTAAGAGTTGGCCATTTTTTATGTTCTTAATTTTCTGAGATCATAATTATAAAATAGACATTATTAAACTAAAATATTCATTTTGTGTGTTTATACTAATTTCTTTTTATTATTTTCTTATTTGTTAGGGTTTAATCAACACAAACATTGCTAAATGCTGTATTGAACCCTCAAAGACTTCAAAACCTGAACCAATAAGTAAGGAAGAACTTAAAGTTTTGTCTAATCAACACAAAAATAGGGGTTCACCCTTATATTTTTTGAATTTTCTTGTCTTTCTTCTTTTTCTGCCCATGAATATGTTGACTTCCTATGCTTTAACATGAAGTTCATACTTTTATTATGAAAATTATGGATAATTATTAAGGAAACATGGTTATGGAACCTAGGGAACTACCCTAGGATATATGTTTTTCACTTAAAAAATTTCATCACCTAGGCACCCCCCCTATCGCCTAGCCTTAGCCTTGACGCCCAAAAAACTATATATACAAGGGAAAATACAAAAAACATATACATGGGCATCATACAAATATCACCAGCCCATCCCTAAAAAGGTCAATACCCGATTTTGGTCCAAGCTAACAGGGGTCTTGGGAGGGGCAGACCATGTATGACTCAAACCTTTGGCTTTTTTTGCACATAGTGGCTACTCCCAAACTCAAACCATTGTTATCGCATTTGCTAGCCCAAGATTTTACCATTACACCAAGCAATGGCCCCTCCTAGCCAATCATTACGCTATTCACTCTAAACCTTGCTAGTCCATCTACAATAGAATTTTAAGCCCTTGGAAATACATCTCAAAGTGGCTGGGCATGAGTCCAGTATAAGCTGTATAGCTCATCTCATAGAATACAACCAGCCTTGTGGCTCAATCTGGGGTATAAGGTCCTGCACTCTAATTCAAGTCTTCCCACCCATTTACTTGAAAATGAATGAGAAGTCAATAGTAGTAATCTGTCTATCTTTTTTAATACTTACATTTTGCCAAACTTAATAAAGCCCCTAATATCTATGACTTTTAGTAATATTTATTAAACATATAGCATACACAGTTCTAAGACAATGGTTGATGCACAGAGAAGCTAGCTCCTCATGGAATAGACAGATGTGTTTTGATGGCCATATTTCCCCCATTCAAAGTCCCTAAGATTGACATATGTAGATTTGAAAATCCAGGGATATCAACTATTAGAAGGCTTTTCTTTTTGTTTTTTGATCAATAACAGACTATTGGAAGGTTTTTAGAGACAACGTCTTAGAACATGATTAGGATCAAGGTCATGGTCTTAGGATGCTCTCTTTATTTATTTTTTTTTTATCAGTAAAATGTGTTTAATAAGATTTGAACCAATGATCTCTTTATGGTTGTTAATCGTGTTCAGATAGAAGGAACTTCACAGATTTTGAAATAGGAAGGATGTATCAAGATGTCAGTGGTCCAATGGTTCTTTATATATCTTACTAGAAAGGTAGTATTATTGATATCCAGAATGAACTTCTTGGCTGGTGACCTAGCCAGAGGGGGCATGGGAGGAGTAATATTGAGGATCTCCTTCCAGGGTAGGATTTGATTCTTGCTTCAGCTTAGATGTCATGGTTAATTTGTGAAGAGAACAGTGATGTGGTCCCCACTGTGTTCGTGTGATTGTAGTTAGCAGTTAGTTATTTCAGTTGGTAGTTTATTTCAGTTTATAGTTATTAGTTCTTTTATTATTTTGCCATGTAAGCAGTAAGGGTAATTCAGCCCTTTTACTTTTATTTGAGTATTAATATAAATTGTAGAGTGGGGCGACGGTTGGTCAACACTCTCTCTCTCTTTTCTGAATCCTCCTCTTTGAGTTCTTCTTCTCTTCTCTTCTCTTCGTCTTCTTCTCTCTTCTCAATCTTTCCTTTGTTTATTTCACATTGAACCTAGGACTGATTGCAGTCCTATTCAACTACTATTTGTTAGTCGCTATGCTTCATCCTGAACTTCATCAGTGGCTCATTGATTGCACTTTTCTTTCTTTTTTTTTTTTTTTTGACAAAAGTATGTTGTGTCACAGATAAAAAAATTTAAAAAAAAAAAACATACTATAAAAATTATGTTGTATAGTGCAATCTAAAAATATCCATACAGTACAGCGGGTGTTGGTGATTCTATAAGGGCGAGCTGAAATATTAGCAGTGGTACGAGGCATACAGCTGGCTAGTCAACTTAGAGTGGAAAACTTGATAGTTGAAGGGGACTCCAAGGTGGTAGTAGGCTGGCTGACAAATCCAGAAACAGTCTATTGGGGTTACAGGGATCTTTTAAAGAAAGTTAACTGGCTGACAAGAAATATGACAGTTAGGTTTCAGTGGGTTAGCAGATCGGAAAATGCAATGGCTGATTCTATGGCTAAGCAAGGGGTATCAAGGGGAGACCTGTTTTGGGCTACCTTATAATTGTAATTCAGGCTTGTGTGTGTTTATTTGCATATTGTTCAGTTCCAGGGGGAGGTAATGACAGTCTTTCTTTGATTAATAAAATTGCATTCATTTATCAAAAAAAAAAAAAAAAAAAGTCTTGCATTACTGTCATGAAATGAAATATATAGACAGACAGAGGCATAAATTGGCAGATGAAACCCAACTTAGGCCACATGAATAGAAACTATGACATCCTATGAAATTTCAGTAAATTGCAATAGCAATAGGAAATGAAGTCAACAGGCAAAACTAGTATCCAATAATTATCATGAATTAATAAATGGTCCAAAATTAGTGTACTTTGACACAAAAACGGCATGCTGTATAGGCTGGATAAATATGTCATTAATACCATCATGTTAAAAATGTATGCAAAAAAACAAGGCTCCATGTGGCATCATTCCATTGGCTATCATCTGGACTCTTTGGTATTAACAAATCTCTTTTAATCATGGCTACTGATAAAAAGGAATTTGAACATATTCAACAACAAGGTATCTTCACAAGAGTCTGTTCTGTGAAAACTGGTTCGCATGGTATCCCCTAGGGTTTCAACCCACAGGGTTCAGGGAATTTCACCATTCCCAATTTTTTGTTTTTGACACTTTTCATATGCTTCATAGATATCATATGTTTTTATGGGTGCCTATTGTCTAGGCCCTATAGTAATAGCAACTTGTGCAGGAGACATGTTGTATATGTCTTTATGCTTTTTGATCTGTTAATACAATTAATTTTTCAGTTAAAAAACCATACTAAGAACTTACATAAACATATAAATATTATAACTCCATGTATACATGATCAAGACACATGCAAGTAGTGCTGTGTAAGTTTAGGCAACAACTAGCCTTGCCAGCCCAAATGCCTGCTAATGATGCATTTTCAGCAAATTACACTGTAATGACTTACTATTAAACAACAATTGTTTTCAATCTGAAGTATTAAACTACAAACTAAGTCATTAAATGACCAAATGAAAAATATAATATACTTATATTCAATCAAAAAAGTGAGAAGTTATTGAATAACCTCCCTGGGTCATAGTAAAACATACAAAAGGATTAACACACCTAAGTTTTAAGTCTGCATATATTAATGTTGAGACAAAATGTGTTAAGACAAACTCATCAGTATATGAATGGGTCATAATTATTTGATTGCCTTCACTACAATGTTTATATCCGTACAGTCCATCAATCTGTCCACCTACGTGATAGGCTCCCAAAATGCATATTAAGTTGCCTACTAAACAAAACGCTTTTACTACATAGGATAAGTGTTGAGGATACCAAAGAATACACATCAACAACAGGTAATAAAATTAAACTGCAGTCACTTGGTGTCTGACATAGCTGCTCAGCACATCTTTTTATTCAATTTCAACCAAAACAATGCAATACTCTAGTCATAGGATCATATACCAAGATAAAGTTGGTTGCCCACTTGTTTCTTAGAAAAACAGGGACTGGGTAAACTATACAAGTGTGATTTTGATCTTACCAGCAGGTCATGTGGTAACAGCCTTGTGTAAGCTCGATCATCCTACGGCATTGTTGGCAACGCCGCCATTTTTTATTTTGTGCTAGGTGATGCAAAGTTATGTCCCCAGCATCTCTCTCCTCCATGGGCAAGTTCTGATACTCTTCACAACTCATGGAAGAATGCCAAGGAACTCCACAATCTACACAGATAAACCGTTGACATACTGGACACTCTATGCAGCTAGAGTCCGACTGACTTGATGAGCTTGCCCTTGTTGACACACACTCACGAGGATTGAGCAGCACCGAACAATTTGGGAAGGGGCAATAGAATTTTTCTGAGTCAAGAATATTGGCTTCCAAGAGTGCTTTCTCAAGAGACTCATAGCAGGTGACTGGAAGAAAGGATTTGCACTCACTGGCTGAGATGTAATACTTACATTTCAACTGAGGGCATCTTATAGGGACTTGAGAGGCCTGTAACTTTCCATCCACATAAATTCTCATACAATGTGAACAAAATTTGTGGGAACATTTCATTTTTATCATCATTGATGATGGCTTCTCTTCGCAACAGATAGGGCAGTCTTCAACTGATCCCTCTTCTTTAGCAGACAAACAGACAACACCTATTGCAATTTGGGCTAATTGCAATGGCCTTTCCAGTTGAATGCTTGGCACAAATTTCAATTCAAAAGATTCTAATTTACTGGCATGTTCAAGAATCCTTTCCCTCAGTGCTATCAAAAGTGGATTCTCAAGTTTGTCCTCATGAATGATCTGTAAAAATTTAGTGTATTATTAAAAGCATCAAAGATTTCAAGGACAGGAGAACATAATGACCATACAATATAATGTCCAGACAGATACTGACATGGAAACTGGTACAGGAAACAGAATATAGTTTTCAATTTCCTAATATTCCGGGTACCATACAGGTATTGAAATCCCACTTAACATGCTTATATCATGCTTATAGCATGCTTCTATATCCAACTTTTGAAGCTAAGTCTCATATCACATTACTAACATCTTCCCAATTTTAATTAACCCTGTAATGTATATAGTTTTTTATGACATGATTTGTTAAAATATATCATGTTATATATAGTTTTAATGCTATTAAGTATAGTAGACTATGGGCGAATATTGTTTTCAGTGAATAAAAACTAGAATAATATGAAATTTAACTACACAAAAACCTAGGCTATGCATCTAACAAGGTTAGAAAAGAATCTGAATGTGCTTTGGAACAAGCATTCTATCAAAATTTGGTACAATTTCTATTGAAGATATAATTAAATTCCCTTTGTACTCTGACTGGTGATCTAAATGCACCTAATGAATTACAGTTTGTGATCTAACAATGAAAATGGTATTAATGAGCTTTGATAAGGATAACGCAAAATGCTGCTTGCTGAAGAATTATAGTGAGACTTACAAGTAATCATTACCTTACTGAACAAAAGATCTTGTCTTGAAACTAATGAAACTTCAAAATATGCAAATCAAATCATAAAAACAGACTTGAGACCCTATCAAGAAGCAAAACATTTTATAACCTCCAGACAAATTATAGAACCCAAACGGAAAAGGTAAAAGAGGATCCTTGAAGATAAGTAGTGAAGTTAAAAATAATATTTTTCACAAAGCCATTGATCAAAATTCATAAGGCTAAAGTCATACATAAATTCCAAAGGTTTAGTAAAACTGATCTGCTGCAGAGTATTGCCTAGCCTGTTCTTACAGACTGTAAACAAAGATATCAATAAATCCAAAAAGAAATAGGACTTCAACGTAAACGAATGCTTGCCTGATCATACATGATCTCTGAATCCGTATACGAAAATATTCGACGTGTATCTTTCTGCAAAGCCTCCGCCAGACCATCCATCAGAGCCAGATAATTAGCCACCGATTCCTCAACATAAAAGTCAAGCTTCTTCTGCACTTGAATTATAGGAACCCCAGGTAATCTTTCCATAACCACCCCAATTCCTGAAAACCCCGAATCTCCAGCCCCACATATCGATACACCTTTGAAGAACATATTCAAGGAAAACTCATCGAGTTCATCTTTCGAGGCACTAATGTTGGTTTCCTCCATGTCCCTCCATTCTTCTTCCTCAGCACAACAGCTACGGAATTCTTCTTCCTCATCGTCCAATCTGTCTTTCCCGGCAACATCTACAAAAGACCCATCACTGAAACCATTGCGCTCCACCATTTTCAGCAACCAATTCCTCCCGACACTCAAAACAACTCTGCAGAACCTAATTTCTCAACGATCCAAATAGGGATTTTTTCAGCCTTTACTTCTGCTTCAGAATCCGGGGAAACCCCATCAATGAATCAATCCAAATCTTTTTACCCCCCACCCTTAATTCTCTCCTGATCAGCAGCGTATCAAACAAACAAGGTTGTCGGCAGAAGATAAAGGAATTCCAGCCCTTTTATGCAAACCAAAACCGAGCAAAAACCCATTAAAAAATCATTCAAATCTTCCATTTCGGTTCCAATATTCCAACAATCTACAACAAAATAAACGGAAAGAATGAAGAAAGAGAGTGGTAGTTTCCAAACAAAACAATAAGAAATCTCTGAGCCCTCCTTACCAAAAAAAAATTAAGAAACAGAGTAGAAGGGCATTCAGTTAGAAGCCCCAAGAAGACGAGAGTCTCACTACCCAAACTAGGATTTATTCTTCTTTCTGCTTTCCTCTCTTTTTCTTCACTTTTTTTAATCCTTGCTCTCCTAATCCACTGAAAGCCCTGTAGGGTATAAAACCCTAATCTGACAACTGCCCCCTTTTCCCCACAAGAATCAATCCGGTACTGTTACTGTTGGATGGCGTAAGAAGAAAGGAAGGCAGCCGTGCGTGCTGGCATTCCCCTCTAATTATTCCCTTCTCATACATCAACACCAAATAATTTTATTTAATTTGTTAAATCACCCAACAAGATTCTCGTTTCTTTTGGGGTTGGGAACCTATGCACATGGCAGACGATTAAATTGATGCTTACTTGATTTGACTTTCAACGCCTCAGAAAATTCCAAAGTAAACAAATTAATGACGACCCATTAAACTAGCAAAGGTCTGAACTCTGATTCTCTGAAGTGGAGCACAATCATTATCAATCCACTTGTTTTTTCTCCTTGTGTAACTTAAACCAATAATTAATTAATTAACATATGCATTAGGATTTCAATATTCAGTTCTTTGGATTGCTGATTGTGGGTTGTGCAGCTCCCACTGAAAAGCTTTGGTTTGAGCATGTGGTGGGTGGACCAGTAGTGTGGTCTAGTTTCTGGATGTATGGATCATGGGTAATTACAGAATTAAATGCTTCAGAGACCATTTGGAATTGGGTCAACATTTCTCTGTCAAGTTTGCTCTCAATCTTTATTAAAATTATTTGCTCTAAAGTCTAAAACCATTTGCTGACTTGGTGTGGGGTGTGGGTGGTTGGAGAAGGTGAGCTATTTCTCATCTGCTTTAGCATTTCTCTTTTTTTTTTAAGGCTTGATGTATGTTGGATGGTGTTCTTTTGAGTCAAGCTAAACATAGTGGATTTGTGTTATTGGAACTTTGTTCCCTCAACATGGAATCATTATTAAATTTTTAGGCTCTCAACTAAGGTTGTGTTTGGTTTGATAAAAAAATTAAGAGATAAACAGAGAGTAATGGACCTGACAATAAAATGATTGATTTAAGAGGAGAAAACAAATTGTGGAATATGTGTGAAATTTTGAAGTGGCATATTTGTATCATTGGATCGGAATTTACTTGCAAGGGTGATAAGGACCATCATTGGTTAAATGCAACCTCTCACATGCAAATGCAAGGGGTCCTTATTAAGAGAAGATTGGAACCCACCTTCACCCACTCCATAGTCCAACCCCATGCACCAATTATTGCCCTCAAGCCCAACCAAACACGGAGAAGAAGCATATTGTGCTCAGCATTTCTATTATTTATTACCAATGCAATTTTTTCCTACGATTTTGGCTTGGTTTGGGTTCTTCGCCCACCATTCTTTTAACACCCAGAATCCTCACTCTCATTTTTTGTTTTCTTTACGATAGTCATGGGAAGTTGCTCTTTTTGCTTCCTCATTTTCCTAAAATTTTTAATCGATTGGGTTTTATTCTGAAAATTTGAGGAATAGTAGAGGGGATTTCAATATTAGTGCTTAATGACGAAGTCAATTGTCAAAAAACCTTAAGGGCACTTTAAGATAATATGTAAACAGTAAGGATAGAGTTAGTCAATTTTCTAAACCATAGGGGTACTTTAAGAAATTTGCCCTAAAAATAATTCTTGTTTATTACACTTGTTTTTTTTAAATCTGATTAATAAAAAGTCATAAATATGTCTAATTTTTTCTACATTTTTTGTAATTTTCTATATTTATTTATATTTAAAAATTTTATTATCTAACTATGACTTAAAGGGTTGACCAATTTGATTTGGATGGTTGAATTGATTAGTCATCACTTGGATAAAGAATGGCTTTGTTTTTGAGTAATTTTAAAATATATAGGTTTATATTGTTAAAAGTATTGGACATAGATCTAATTAGTAGCATTTATTAGTGAAAAATAACTTAAATATAGGATTAAATAAGAAATATGGAAGATAATACCCGGTGCTTACTGTATGTTTTAGAAGTCAAAGCACCCTCATTTAAACATTTCTAAATTCCTAGAATACCCCTATCTACTATAAAACCCTTTGCCATCTTCTTCCTCACTTTTTCCTTTTCCATTCTCACTTCTCATCACTTGCAACAACGGTGGGCTACAACTAGGTTCCATTTCTAGCCATTTTCTTATATTTTTTCTTAATAAATTGAATGAATATTGATTCTCACCCCTTCAACTTTTTTTTTTCTTTTATTATTGTTTGTTTTGAATGAAACACCTCCAACAATGGGTTTTGTGGCAAATTAGGTATGATTTATATGTTCTCATGTTATTCATACAATGAACATGGATTGATTGAAACCCCCTTGCTATTGAAAACATTGGTTTGTTTTTTAAATTATATCAAGTAATGTAGTTTGGGGTCAATTAGACCATGTGGAGCTTGTGTGAGAACCACCATGGACTTGGCAATTTATTGAAAGCAAAGAAAATGGTCTTTGATGGGCACAACTGTTGTTTATACATGCTTTTTTATGTGTATAAACTATGAAGGATAATATTATCTTCATATCGGCAAAAGCCCATTTTGAACCAAGCAATGTTCATAAATAAGTGTTTTTTCATTAGACAAAAAAATCACCTCACCAAGCGGATTTTAAGTGTCTTTTTAGTACTTCTTGAAAAAGTGCATCTAAAAAAGTTCATTTAGAGGCAAGAAGCCCCATCAAATGCAAACTATATGTGATATGAGAACTTCTCTAGGGGTATTTTTCTAGAATAAAAAACCTTGGTTTCATGCCTTTTCACATTTTCAACTTGCTATTTTCATATTGAAACATGAACTCCACCAATAAACTCTTTGTTTTCTTTAATTTAAGGGTAAATTTCTTAAACTACCTTTATGGTTTAGCTAATTGACTAAGTGTACCCTTATTGTTTGAAAATTAACTAACACTACCCTTACTATTTTTGGCAATTGACTAATCCTTTTTTGTTAGTAACACGTGTCAACAGAAAATATGAAAAAGACTATTTTACCATCCACTTTTCTTTAAATTTTGAAAAAGTGTATCTCTCCCTCTCCCTCCCATTCTCTTCTTCAGAACCACTAGAACTATAGATCTCTCCCTCTCCCTTTCGTTCTCTTCTCCAAAACCACTCGAACCACCAGAAATGTAGATTTTTCAAATCTCTCCATATGCTAATCATCTATGTTGGAGCCCATTTTGATTGGAATTTTTGGTGTCGATACTTCTGAAAGATTCAATTTTGGTATTGTTGGCTTTGTCGCATGTGGCAATTGCAGTTGAATCATTGATCCTTTATCCAAACCAAAGAGGAAGTCAGGATGGGTTCTCTCCTTATGGCTTGATGAAATTAATTGGGATGCTCTACATCTATGCAATCATATGTAACAATGAGGATATGTCGCTAAGGTTATCAGGGACAAGAGTTGCTTGGGAGGGTTATTTTGATGCATTGGATACAGATTATGATCACAGAGTATCGAACATAGGCATCGGTAGATCCTTATGTGAAGAATGAAGCCTTCTAGATGTGCTCAAATGGAAGCATCTGTAAATAGGGGTGCCCACGGTTCAGTTAACTGAACTGATAACCTTAGCGATGTATAAAAAATGGAGAACTAAGAGAAGAAAGTCACTACAGAGAGTCACTGGTTTACCGATGCACAATGTCTCCATATCTGGTGTAGAGAGTCACTACAGAGAAATACAATGCATCTACTAATTTGATTGTAGAATGACAAACTTCCACTTCTCACCATATAAATGGAAACACCAGCCATGATATACGACCACACCGATGAAGGCTTGACGAACAATAGAAGGGGTCGATCGGGGGGTGGGGCACTGCTCCATAGAACTGGATAGAGCATCCTTTTGATTTGCTCATAAGGAGTAGGGCTGCAAGTTGGGCCGGGTTAGGTCAGGTTGAGGCCAATCCTAGCCCAACCCTAAGTTCTAAACCCCAACCCTAACCCTAACCCAACCTGACCAACCCAACCCAACCTTCTTCCCATCCCTTAAAACCTCATAGAATTTCTTGATTTTAGATCTTAACTCAACTTTCACTACATATATTAATCCTATATTTCATTAGTATTTGTTTGTTGATGTTTTTCTTGTTCTTTTGGTACAAAATTTAGAAAAACTAGTGTTAGAAATGACTATAGTTTATTATTAGTAATGGCTTACGATAGATCTTTCTTATGCAGCAAACAACATAAAGGAGATGAAGAATAAAATTTTCAAAAAAAACATAAAATAATGTTATTAAGGTTTTAGTCTTTCTAATTAGGATTAAGTGAAATGATTATCTTAAAAGAAATACATGATACTATGTGGTGGGGGCTATACAAATATCATGCATCTAAATAAATCAATGTATATTATATATTACATATAACATATATTTATGTATTACATGTACTATAGAGTCGAGTTCAAGTCGGGTTGGGTTGGCTAAGGGGTCAACCCTAACCCAAACCGAAGTAAAGTCGGGTTCGTGAATTTCAACCCTAACCCTAACCTGAACATCAACCTGACCCAACCCAACTGTTGGGTTGGGTTGGGGTTGGGTTCGGGCCAACCCGACCCAAGTTGCAGCCTTAATAAGGAGGGCGCCGAATGGGACTTACGCTTAAGCTCCTTCCTTCTAACCAAGTTAGCTATGAAATTGACAAAGGAAGAAAAACTGTGCCACTACTCGAGTGGTCTGTGGTGGGAGAATAGGAACTATGGCTTCTGTATTGAGAATATGGGCTAGAGGTTGACACAAGGGTGAACAAAGATCAAGCCTAGCAGAGGAGATGAAATCCCTAGTCAGTGGTGCTGTGCTAGACTCCTTAGGCAATACTTTCTTATTGGAGAGTAGAAACTTATCCATGGTGAACCTTTACAAAGCTTTTGTTTGTGGAGATGGGGAGGGTTCTTTTATCTTTTTTCTTATTTTCTCCTTTTTCTCTTCCTGGTTTGATAAAGTATGATGCATGAGTAGGTCCAGCTAGTAGAGAAAAGCTGAAAGTTTTGATTTTCGAAGAGACTGAGTAGTGAGCAATCTAGCAGTCAACAGTCTGGCACTCTGGCAGTCTAAACTTTCAGCCTTTCTCTCTTCTAAACTTTCAATTCAATTTAAAAAAATAAAATATATATTATAATATATAATATATAATATTTTATAAATATTATATTAATGTATATAT